GCATTCTTTGATCAATATTGAAATCTACTTGATACTGTACTTCCTTCAAATGTGAGGTGAAAATGCTTAAGAAAATCTAATCAAAGTGAGGAAAGGAAAAGAAAAAACACCACAAAAAACTTTTGCAATAAATTTTCATAATTTATCACGATAAGATTAGTATAGCTTGGCATTTGTGGCGTTTTTGACAAGCTTTGAGACAGATTTTGCAGCCATGAATTTATTTTTAAAGCAAAATTTGTTACAGCGCAATTCCACCTGAAGTAAATATCTCATTACAACAAACTGGTATAGGGACCTGTGAAAATTTTAAAGCTGTATAACAATAAATAAGTTATAATGGGATTTATCATGGTATTATTTGAGCATTTATGACTTAAATTTTGTGGGAAACAGATGATTTTTTTCAAATGCTTTCACAAGAGAAATTTGAAGTAATTACACAATTTTCAATTTTTCTTGAGCTATAGTAGGGACAAAATTAGAAGTTCAAAATTTAATTTCTGAACCTTCTTTTTGACCTTCCCTTGATTGAATTTCATAAAACTATACTGACCTCAATAAATTAATACATGGAAATGAACAACATTACATGTGCTAGAGGAGCACATATTCCTTAAAAACTGTACTGTATGTTACAAGAAATATAAAATTCTTTCCAACATATTGTTATTTAAAAAAGCGATTTATAAATTCTAAAAGAAAGCTAGATATATATTGACCAGAGCATCATGTTCCACACTTCCTACAATGTATGCTAAATTTTCTGTACTCACAGATTAGCATTCTTACTTTCTCATGATTTTCAAAAACGCACAAGTAGGATTTCCCATTTTTTGTGCCAATTATTGAAAATTCCTATAGCCTACGCACACCTAATCATGACAAAAATTCGTCATAAAGAGATTACCGTATACATGAAAATTAGTCTTGTCAAAACAAATAGTCTAACAACACTGTTCCTGTGCAGAAACTGCAGGGATCAATACAAAAAAATCTTTACAACGAGATTCGTTGTAACGGAACTTTACTGCATTAAGCTGAGATAAACCGCGTCAAAATCTCCGCAAAACCAAGAAAAAAAATTCGTCCTAAGATTTCGCCTGTCCACGCGGGTACTTCCCAACCAGCCGGACAGTTTTCTCAACTGATAACACAACCCGACAAACAATGAAGCAGAAGAGACGAGAGGACCGAAACAATTTTCGGCAAAGTTAAGGGGAGGAGGGGAGGGAAAAAGATGACTCATCCAAAGAAGAAAACTTCATTTAAAAAATAAATAAATACAAGGGGCAAGAGAGCGAGAGAATGAAAAAAAAAGAGCGCGACTGGGGCCTGCAGGTGCCAACTGGATTTCCAAGAAGCGCTCGGCGGGCGGAACAATAAAAATATACAGTATGCTGTACCGGGAAACGATGAAGAGAAAAGGAAGGAGGAGAAGAAAAAAAAAAAGATCTCAAGCACAGAGTTCGTTGCTGGAGAATCGCGAGGAAAGGGGTGGGTGAGGAGAAAAAGAGGAGAATTGCGGAACACAAGTGGGATGGAGCAAAGTGGATGGATGACCATGGACTGTAAGGGACTACTGTGGAAGCCTGCGAAATATACTCCGCGTTTCCATGACCTTCATATATACATGGACTTTCCTTCTCTCATGGGCTGCGGGAATATTTTTTTCTTATACCCTGTATTCTCCCATTTACAGCCCAGAATTTATTTGAAAAAATGCAGTTTTTCTTTCTTCTGCCGGTTAATAAAAGCCAGCTTCTATTGCAGAGAGCAGCCACTATTTTTTTTAACACAGCTGAGGGAAATAAAAAAGAAAAGAAAAGGAGAATAGAAAATATCACAGAGAGGAGTTCATGTTGCACAATTCAGCAATTTTTGTAGAATGAAATTCCAACACGATAAACATTGCAATTTGTTCTAGTGCTGCTCCATATGCTCATAACAAGTTCAAGTTCACAATCTCGGAGAACTTCATTTGGAAATAATACCGTATTTCCCTCCAGAATTTTTTAAAAACTGCAGTACAGTATAAAAATATATACAGTACTGTGAAATATTGTTAAAACAAACTTTTGGTATAACGAAGTACTGTACAATAAGGGATCCCTGAAATCCGGAAAAATTTGGTTGACATCGTGAATGAGGGAAATAAGATGAAAATTGTCTTGAGACCCAAAAAGCTTCAAGTACAATACTTTTTCAAACTTTTCTTTCAGCATTCAACTGTCCTCATTCGAAGAAAAATATCTACGCGATGGTAAATTTTTTTTTTAGCAGTAATAACTTTCCTCGTCAACTGCAATGAGCTTTTTCAACTGTTTTCGTTGTTTTATCTGGCGTTAAAATTATTTCTTCATGCAAAAAAGAATCAATCTGCGCTTTGGAAAAAAAAACAACAGGATCAGTAAAAAATTGCCGCATTCACTGAAATGTCCCTCATGCAAAATAAGTACTGTACATGAGCTTGTTCCACTGTTTGATTCTGTTTACCCGACGTTTAACTGCCCCATTATGCAAACTCAAAGCAAAAGAAAAATAAATCAACAATGTTGCAATAAAATTCTGGAGCAGTAAAAACTTCCTGCACTTACTGTAATATTTCAAGGTGCAGAATAAATTACGGAACATCAAGAGTTGTTCTTCTTCTGCCCAGAAAATGGAAACAAAATGAAATCTACGCAATAGCCGTGAAGCACGAGCAGTAAAAACTTGCCTCACTTAATGCAATTTTTCCAATTGCAAAATAAGTTAAGGAAATTCTTCAAGTTGTCGTTCTTTTTCCGTCCAACGTTGAACTGTTCCATTTTGCAAAAAAAATAATAATCTGCACAAAAGCCTGGAGCAGTAAAAACTTTCCTCACTTTCTGTCGTTTTACAAAACTCGCTGAAATTCGTTTTATATCATCCAGCAATAAAGAAATAACTGTCCCACAATGCGAAGTACTGTACTGTATATCCAAGAAGAGGACTGATCTCTGCACCCTTTGACCCTCAATTTGCAAAGATGGGATAAAATAGAAGCTATGCAACAGCCGGAAAACTTTTCCAAGCGCAAAGCAAGGAATTCTTCCAAGTATTTGTTCGTCTGCCATCCTGCGATAAACTGCGCCATTTTGAAAATTAAAATAAAATGAGATCCAAAAAAAAAAAAAAACTTCCAGCAATAACTGCTGTATCCTCCAGGCACAAAATAATTCCATGAATTTGCCTAAATTATTTTCATTCAGCCAAAAAAAGTATAAGACCCCCAATAAAAATTTCCAAGAACAGGACACACCTATGTACCTGTTGACCATCATTTTGCAAAAATAAAATAAAATAGAACCTATGCAATTGCCAAAAAAAACTTTCAGAACCCAAAATAGGGAATTTCTTACATTGAATCGAATTGAACAGAACACTTTATTTCTGCTTTTCAGCATTCACAAGGTTCAAACAATGTTCCCACATCCAAACCCTGCCCCACCCACATTTATCCAAACACATTCTCCACATCAGAAAGGAAAATGGAGAAACAAGCTGTACATGGATATTATAAGAAAAGAGAATACATCCCAAAAAGTGCAACGGATGTATCCTTCCCTTCCCTTCACAAAAACAAAATATCAATTCTACAAATTGCAGCATAAAGAAATTACTAAACCCAAATTGAAGCGCAAGGTGTTCAACCCACTTCCAGATAAGGTTTAGTTGATTGAACAATTTTGAGAGAATCTTTTATGAGAAATCATATAAGATTAACTGAATAAACTTAGACCTCTAAGATTTTGGAAAGAGTTTTTTCATAGGATTTTATGGAATCCCAAATCTTTTCAAAGCTCATTTCTGTAGCCGAGAAATGCTGAGCATAAGAAAAGAAGGTGCTCTGGTGATGCATCAACCAATTTACTTACACTGCAGAAATGAAACCACTTGGACACCTTTGAAAATTTGATAAATTTCTAATTAAAATGCCACAAGTTTGTCAGAAGAGCTATGGTATCATGTACCAAGGGGAATTAGATGATACAAATAGTAATGGTTTAGTTTTGCCACAAGTGAGATCAGCTAGTAATTTACTTCATTTAACAACATCACAATTATCATGACAAAATTGAGTAATTAGGATCTTTTCTCTACCTTTATTCATGTCTCACTTGAGAAACTGAAAAAAAATATTCTACTAATGATATTGTACCTACTTCTGGGTGCAATACAGATTGTTTTGAAAATTAAAAGGAAAGAAAAATCACAAAAAACTTCCCTCACTCACTGCCTTTTTTCCAGGCACAAAGGAAGTCCAAGAACTCCCTGAAATTCTTTTTTTTTCATTGAACAATAAAATAAAAAATAAACTGCCCCCCCAAAGGAAAGTACAGTACTGGACAGTACATCCAAGAACAGGACAGATCTTTGCGCCTGTCAACCCTCATCTCGCAAAAATTGAATAAAACAAAAGCTACGCAACAGTCAAAAAACTTTTCCAAGCGCAAACTAGGTAATTTATTTCAGTGTACAGTATTTCTTCTTCTGCCGTCCTGCGATAAACTGCCCCATTTCGCAAAATAAAATTAAAATATAATTCACGCTAAACTTCCCGAACGCAAAGAAAAAAAAAAGAAACTGTCCCACAAGGCGAAGTATATCCAAGACAACGACAGACCTACGTGCCTGTTGACCCTCATTTTCGCGAACATAAAATAAAAGCTATGCAATTGCAGAACAAGTATTTCCGAAGGCAAAGTACAGAATTTAATCACTTCTGCCATCAAATGTCTCATTTTTTCAAAATAAAATAAAATCCCGGCACTCCACCACCGTTTTTCAAGGCACAAAATAAGTCCAAGACCTGTCTGAAATTCTTTTGCTATCATCCAACATATACAAAAAAAAAGAAACTGTCCCGGAAAGCGAAGTATATCCAAGAAGAGGACAGATCTACGCGCCTGTTGACCCGGACTCCAAGGGGGGGGGGGGGGGGGGGGGCTTCCCCGGCCNGGGGGGGGGGGGGGGGGGGGGGGGGGGGGGATTTCCCTGGCAGCGCGCGCTCACGAGTTTCCCAGCAGCCAGCCAATCAAAAAACCCGCGGCATGGGTATGACTCACCCAAAACCACGTTGGAAGCGTTGAGCGCGACGACGGAATACCGAGAATCTCCCGCACCTGACTCATATAACCGCGGCTCGCGAAGCCGCTCCGCTCACAGTCGAACGCCTGACGCCGACGAGGCAGCAACACAAGCGAGAGAGAGAGAAACTTGAAAGTGCACGCGAAGAGTGAACAAGAAAAAAAAGAAAGAAAACATACATTCGCGGAAGTCCAATCATGAAGTTCATGTCGAACGTATCGTCGAAAGCCGCCGTGACGGGAGAACCGTTCGCAGTGCCATTGAACCCGTCGCTAGACAAGAAGCGAAAGGCTTTGCATCTCAGCCTGGGTCAAGCGACCCCGAGGAAACGTGCAGCTGGGGGGTTGGAGTCCCCAGACTTGTCGCGGATTTCGTCGCCCACGTTGGATCGGTTCCTGGGTCGCAATGTCGACCAAGGCCCCCCATTGCTGACCCCGTCCACCATGGACATCCTCTTCAACAAGTCGACACCTACTGGGGAAGCCAAGAGTTTCGTGGATGGCTTCATGGAGGCCTACAAGTCCGTTGAGAAGCGGAATGATCCCATGTTGACCGAAGCCACCGTCGTGTCCCACAACGAAATTTTTGGTGAGCCATCTGATCCTTTTTCGAAAATTATAGCTCTTGAAAAAATTTACGCTATTTAGGCGCAAAATGATTCTGCATATGTACGCCATTAGAGGGACAAGATGCCTTCGTTTGGCTGCTCTGTGAATAAAAGTTGTTAAAAAATTTAAAATCTGTGTTAAAAAAAAGTGAAAATTTTATGTTTGTTCCGAATCCCGACGTGGAGTTTTCCATACTCCTGATCATAATACAGTATTGAAGTAATGTTTCTGTCTTATAACTTCATTCGTAGTGAAGAGATGCACTGTGTAATTCCATATTGAACGCTGGCGTAACTCTAAATGCGTGAAATCAGAATTACGCAGGAATATCCGGGTTCCTCAATTTTGAGCAGAACAATGGTCGTATTTTCTGAAATTTTCGTTCCTCAAAATTAGGCTGAAAGTTCTGTTCTTTATTTCTATCCCCTTATATGAATCTTCTGAATTTGATGCAGTGATTTAGCTTTGGTCGGAAGGTGACTCCAGTATAATACTTTTTCTGAGGATTACGTAACATCAATTATACTGCGAATTCCAGAGTGATTGTCTTACCGGAGTTCAGTAATCAGAACCAGTGCGGTTAATATCGGTATTTATTCGTGGATGGCTTCATGGAGGCCTACAAGTCCGTTGAGAAGCGGAATGATCCCATGTTGACCGAAGCCACCGTCGTGTCCCACAACGAAATTTTTGGTGAGCCATCTGATCCTTTTTCGAAAATTATAGCTCTTGAAAAAATTTACGCTATTTAGGCGCAAAATGATTCTGCATATGTACGCCATTAGAGGGACAAGATGCCTTCGTTTGGCTGCTCTGTGAATAAAAGTTGTTAAAAAATTTAAAATCTGTGTAAAAAAAAGTGAAAATTTTATGTTTGTTCCAAATCCCGACGTGGAGTTTTCCATACTCCTGATCATAATACAGTATTGAAGTAATGTTTCTGTCTTATAACTTCATTCGTAGTGAAGAGATGCACTGTGTAATTAAATATTGAACGCTGGCGTAACTCTAAATGCGTGAAATCAGAATTACGCAGGAATATCCGGGTTCCTCAATTTTGAGCAGAACAATGGTCGTATTTTCTGAAATTTTCGTTCCTCAAAATCAGGCTGAAAGTTCTGTTCTTTATTTCTATCCCCTTATATGAATCTTCTGAATTTGATGCAGTGATTTAGCTTTGTTCGGAAGGTGACTCCAGTATAATACTTTTTCTGAGGATTACGTAACATCAATTATACTGCGAATTCCAGAGTGATTGTCTTACCGGAGTTCAGTAATCAGAACCAGTGCGGTTAATATCGGTATTTAATCTCTTACTTCTTGAATTCACGGAATATCAGAAAATTGCGTAATACTCCAGAAAAGTGAGCACTTGTTATGTTCAATCGAGGGGATGAATCCATGTAGTTCATGCATGAGCGACATCCGTTTAAAATATTCCAAAGATCTCGAAGAGAATTCACAGATGTCGCTGAAGGTTAGGTACCCACGCCGGTTCCTCTATCGGTCATAGAAAGTTACGATTTGGCTCGTGAAGTTTGCATCATCATTCAGAAAATTAACAGGTATGTCTTTTTCAATTACAGTTGATGGGCTTGGAAACAATGAAACTGAGAACGCAATTCCGGTGGTGCCGCAATGGCACAGCTACACCAACAGCCAAGACGAATCCCTCACCATCCTCCCAATGTACCTAGAATCCGACGAGAAAAGCTACACCGACCTCAGCTACTCCCAAGCACCCGTGGATGCCACCTACATCGCCATCGCAGACGTTGATGTCCCACCAGCAGGCTCCATCCCTTTGGTTGCCAAGCGAACGGCATCTTTGGCATTGACATCTGGAGGCAAGTTTGTGAATGTGTCTCTCATGGAGCCCAAGTCGGAGCCACAGGATGTGGAAGTCATCGAGAACATCCCAACAACCATCACAAATAGCCCCATGTCATCCGTGACTTACGAGGAAGATCAAGATGATAGCATGGACGGGTTCCCGGGCTCAGAAGAAGACGATTACAAGCCTGATCCGCCCAAGCGTGGTGGAAGGAAGGGTAACACAAGACCCATCCCTTCCAACTTGTCTGCCGCTGAACGCCGAAAGCTTGAGAAGTAAGCGCGTTGTCTACTTTTCTCTGCCATTTCATTTTCTTCATTTTATTTGAACCGACATACAAATGAATTCTCAAGTCATAGGAGGATCGTTACAAATTATCATAAGAATAAAGGATGACGCAGCCAACAGTTCGAATCCCGAAGAGTTAAGATCCCGTTTGATTCGTGAGATACGATTCAGTGCTTAGTTCGAGCAAAGACACGAGACAATACTATGATGTGTATTTTGAGTGAAAACGAAGACTTGCTTTACCAGAGTAAAACCAGTAAGCTCATTAGGATGATTTTGTTCCTTGCTCATTTATTTGCGAAAGCCATAGCCGTAAATTAAACCTTGATCACACCCTCGGGTATGAAATAATTCTGTGAATGTGTGCAACATTATGTCAGTATTACAAGTGTATCTCGCAAGTTAATACAAAAATAATGCCATGATGAACAGTGCATCTGAATGCGATTCGCACGAGGTGTTACATCTTCTGAATGATCGCTAATATGGAAATCACTCTTATTATCCCTTCAGGAAACGTGCCCGAAATCGTGAAGCAGCGAGCAAGTGCCGAGCGAAGAAGATGGCAACAATTGCATCATTGCAAAAGGAAAATAAGGACTTGATGACTGAAAGGAGCCGCGCGAATAACGAAGTGAGCAAGCTGAAGAAGGAAATCGCACAACTCCAGTCCTTCATCATGCAGCACATTAGGGATGGATGTCCTACATCTTTTGGCGAATACCGTAGTTCAAAGCTGTGAAGTCGGATTAATTCGCCTGGGAAAAGTGTGAATGAGTGGATTGATCGGATTTTCTTACGTTGAGGAGAGAGCTGGGAGCCTGTGATATTGCGTTGATTTTTGGATACAATGCGCGGAAACGCAGGTTTTCATGTTTTATTTTGGAATCTCTTTACGGGAGAGATTCATTTTTTTGTTGGCTATGCGTGAGCGGAAGTGTAATTTATCGTGCTATTCCAAAGAACTTGACTAAGTGGGATATGAGAGCATTCAACTTTACACGTGGAGTAGCGCTCAAGAAGGGCCTTCTCGTTCTGAGCCGCGAAAGGACAAAAATTCAGCTTTTTTTCTCGCTTTTTGCTGCGTGTTTGGAACGGCTCCGACGCCTCGAGTGACGGAAGTTTGAAATTAAACGCATGCAATGTTACCAAAGACTCTTGATCATTTAGAAGTTGAATGGCCTCGTCAAGATCCACACTACGAAAGGAAACACTCCATGATGTTCCGAGCGGAAATTGACATCAAATCACGGAAACCCTACACTTCGTCTGAAGCAGTCATTACTTTAAAGAACTAAATAAATTCAAGTAGCCTGTAGGGATCTCTTAACCAGACCCGGGACTCACCAAATCCACCCACAATGGTAGCAACACTGGAATTGAAGGAATCCAAGAATTCCGCACAAGGTAGAACCCATGCAGTGCCATAAGCAAGAACATTTTTGAGGGAAACGGAAAGCACGTTGTTCTGTAATCTGCTTCGTCGATAACCGTACCACGATTTTAATGGATCCATCACGTAAACACGGGGAGTGAAGCCATATGCAGCCTTCAGAAGTTTATAAGGCATGTACGCTGTGGAATTATTCATTCCGGCTTGAAAAGTTTTCGGAACACCCCCAAGCAACCACCACATCGTTGATGTGCTGGGGCCGAAATTTGAAAAGGTTTTCACGCCGAAATTATCGTAGAGACCCATTGCGAAGATTTCTCGATCATGAAAAGTGGAATAATGAGACTTAGAGGGGACTAACGTGAAAACATGAGATTGGATTGTACTCACCACAAACATCATGCAATCATCCACTTTGAAATGCGATAACCGTTTCCCATACGAATTAATAAAAATTGAAACCACTCCACGAAATGTAAAAATTAACTTCATATAATTTCCTCAACGCAACATTACAAGATTATTTGAACAAGATGATCACAATCCCTTTGTGATCCCGATAAAAATGAATGAATGTGAACATTTCCCAAGACGAACACACTCAAATACGGTACACCAGATGACCAGAATTCTTCCAGAAGTAGATCACGAGAGTGAGTTCCGATCAAACGTCAACTGAATGCCGCATGAGAATCTTAGCGCTTTAAAACATGGATTCGCGCGTATCGACACACATGCATCCGAAAAAACTGGCGAATCATCGATCAATAATTATTGTAAAATTTCATCATCACATACATCCAGCGGGTTCACATTTAACCGGAAAAGCCCAGCGCACGTCCGACAACGGCGACCCTCGAACCACACTGACGTGTATTCGGGTGTGCAGCGTTTAGGTGTCGCTAATATGACAATCCGAAGGAAGAATAGGGTGCCTGAATTTAATGTTTTCGTGATGTTAACGACATCTAGGATACCTCAACAATATGCAAACGTTTTGCGAGTTGAATAGAGAAGGCTAGATCACAGCTGCAGTTAAGCGCTGAGATGGATATTACAAAAACCATACTGCATATGAATGCGCCTAGAATTGAAAGTGCCGTCTCACCTTCCACCGCAGTATTTAAGTACAGTACGTCGAAAAGATACGCTTTGACAATTCAAATGATAGTACAACGCTTTAATTGGTTCCGATTGAAATGTTACGCGATACACATCAACTCATATGTTATTTTGCTGGATGAATTAATAGCCGGTCTTTTATTTCAATCGGTCCACAAATTTAGGCTTCACTCAATGTAGGCTCTTTCATCTATGCTTCGGTGGATTTATACAGTGCGAAATATGATGCAACACAGTCATGAAATACTCGAAGACACATCATGCGATGATACAGTATTTATAGAAAATATTCAATGAACAGAATTCCATTTGAATACGATGAAACGCTCCATTAAAAAAATAGATGAAATCACCAAGTTCTCATCTACGCAGCTGTGCTTTCTTTTTGCATTACCCAATTTTCTTCAGCTCTATTCCTATATGCTGTTCCACTTTCATCAATGATTCAGCGAATTTCTTTAACCATGACAATGAACAAAATCCCAGACTTTTGCCTCAAAGAAATAAGTTCTATAGTTTGACCCACTGCGCAGTTGCTTTTCGTCTGTGGTGATATCTTTTCGGACTTCGGAAATAAAACCTAGCTGTCTGTGATGATAAGAACAATGTTCGAATTGTATTCCGAAAAGTATTTATGGTTTATTCCATAGGTGCCAGCTAGAAAACAAGATCACAAATGGACCGTAAAGTAATGTTCGTTCTAACAATGGGGATTTTGATCTTACCTGCTCTTGTACGGGGTTCGCGGCAAAATCCCGAGTCGTTGCTGCGATTACCATCATCGTCATCATCATCCCCAGCAATTAGGGCCTATTCATCATCGGATGGTTTATGGTCAAGAGCTATCAAATGTCAGCAAAGTTTGATCGCATCAGCTGCTGCTCAAGTGAATGCAGAAAACGGAGTTTCTTCGTTGAGGCACGACCCCGTTTTAGCGTGGGGACTCGTGCGAAACTCCGAGTGTGCAAAAAAGTTGGCCAGACAAGGCAGGCAATTATCCTTTCTGGATGCGATTCTGCAAGGTTTCAGGGAGGATAATTCGCGATCGAACAATTCTTGCATCTTGTGTCCTGGAGACGGGCGAGAACAGCTGGTGCAAAATTTTGCCAAGTGAGTCACTGCCGCTGAAGTCGAAAATATTGGGCCTCACGATTCTGATTTCGGTTGATTTATTTCAGAAAAAAAAAACGTTTTGCATACAGCGTATAAATTTAAATTTTCAAATATTGCCCAATCAGCATAGTTTGCCGCAGGTTTCTGGATTCATTTTTCACTTGGATATAGATGCATATCTTTAAAATAAATCCCCAACAATTATTTCGTTTCATGAAGATTCGTATGCATGAATGTAATGTATATTTTCTTTACATGGAAAACCTTTTATTACGAGAGAATGAGAGAGTATACTGTATAAATGAAAATCATTAAATTATTCTTATGAGGTACTGTACTGTACATAATTATATATGGCAAATTCATTGGTTGAAATTAAATTGGCCAATTAATTTGGTATGACAGTATTTCAGCCTTTCTCTTGAAAAATGATAATCTCTGCAGATTGAAAATTAGCTCTCCCCAAATTTATCCACAAAGCAGTCAAAAATATATTGAATGCAAACTTTGACAATTTTCATCTAAACCATTTCATTCAACTGTGCTCTATGTGAAAATCATGCATGATTTCCTATGTAAATACATACACTTCACGAACAGAAACTGCAGAGTCTGCATTTATATGATTATGTGGTCAATGGTCACCATTTGTCTTTTTAGTCACCATTTGCTTTATTTCCAATTTATAGATTAAAACATGAAATGATACAAAAATGGAAAAATACTCCAGATGCACACATACATCTTTTAAACTTTTGTTTGATTCCCAAAAACAATTTAAAATGTAATTTTGTCATACTCATTGAGTTTTGGTGTTTCATCATATGATCTACTGCATTTTCTCTAATAAGCCTTCTTTTCAGTGTTTATTTAAAATAATGGACTTTTCTCTGGAGGTGCAATAGAGACCAACTTCTATTAAAGACTTGCACTTATTTTTAACAGTTTTGACAGAGGGACAAGAGAAAAAAAGAAAAAAGGGAAAACCCAGGTGAAAAATGAAAAACGTTTTGATGGCATCTTTTCTTGGAAAATGAGGTAGTAATTGATGATGGGAAAGAACTTCTTTCTCTAGTTTTTACTGCATGGGTGTAAAGGATTTTTCAGACTGGAATAATTCTCAGAAGTGTTCTCAACACCCTCACCCTTCTTTGATCCAGCTTATATACTAGATACTGGCTATTTTTTACTTCAAGGTTTTCTGAGACCTGGCCTTGATTGGAGACAATCCCCTATAATGGAGACCAGGAATCCATTAGAGATAAGACTCTTGCTTTTTAAAAGGAAGAAAGTGTTGAATATAGCAGATGCTTATTCCCAGGTATCAATGGCTTTGTTTTAATTATACTCTGATGTATACTGCAGGTGGTACCTTGCAATTCAACCTACCACAATTTGACTGTTACAATTGAACAGTCAAATTTACAGGGAGGTTGACTTGCAATTTAACTTGCTTTGGCCACTTTTTTGCATTGTTTACTGATATTTTTGAATATCATGACATACGTGTCTTTCAATTCAACTGCTTTGCCATTTGACACTAGTTTGGCAATGGATTAGGGTCAAATTGCAAGGTACCACCTGTATACTGTACTGCATATACTGTATGCAGCACATGCACATTCTAATGATTTCATGTGTCCCATATTAGATGCTTCTCTGGGTCAGACATCATGTGTTGCTCCTGCATTTACCATGCAGCAATCCAAGTGGGACAAGCCATGGTTGATGCAGCCATAGTAGCAGAAGAGGGACAAAGCACAGAGCCATCAACCCTGGAAGAAACCACACCCACAGAGCATGATGATGATGACATGCAACATGTACTGGAAGGACAAACAGAGGAAGCTGCTGCTGCTGTTGATCCTGGAGTGCAACGAGCGGATCTAGAATATATCATAAACTTGAGAAATCAGCCCCTGTAGAAGAAAGATGAAATTTGAAATTTTTGCTGCTTCAAAAAAATTGGAGATTCTTCCTGGAAAATAAAAACATCCAGATATATTCCGTCCAGCGATTGGGAAATTGAGAGGAACGTTTTTTTGTGACTGTGTTTTTTTTTCTCGGCATCTGTAACTAAAACGCGAGCAGATTAAAAATGCCGGATTTGTGTTTAGGAACCAATATTTTCATCTGAAGAAAATATTATTTTGCTGCAAATATAACTCGAGGGTCTTTCCGTGAGACTTTTTTGTTGTTGACTGGTTCAAATTTCATTCAATTTCGTGGACTGGTTTAGAACCATTGTATCTTCAAATTTAATCTCTGTGAATCACTGATCCCATCAAGGCATTGGTCATCTGGGTGAGTTCATGAAAATCGAAATGTTGAATCATGCAAAAATGATTTAAAATACCTTTACGATCATATTGAATTATTCAAGGCATTCATAATGTAAAATGAACAGTTTTAATACTTTGAATAAATTTGCCATAGAATGCAACACATTTTCTTTGGCAGATCTTTCAAAAGAAGGGTTCAGATTTAATGAAGAAAAATTCTCTGCTCAGCTTGTGTTTGGCACTGCAAAAAAATATAGTAAAGTATATACAGTAGTTAGTTTGATGGATCAAACCTCAAAATAATACTGTATAGAAAAAAAAAATAGCCCGAGATTAGTAGATTTCTTCAGATATAAATATCGAAATTAATCTCTTTCACAATAAGTCCCAAGCTCACAACATAACTCCGCAGTTTTTCACAGCAAACATTCACAAATATATTTTAAAATCACACAAGGAGACTACACTCATCAATCATCCATATTTAAAAAAAATAGATTTTAGATAAATATTGGATGCTTCGGATGCTTTCAGATTGGCTGCTATATTAGATGGCAAAAATCCAATTTGGATTTTAAGCATAAATACAGCATTCAAAAACCAAATACAATTTGGGGTTTCGTCTATAAACGAAGTGGCGTCTCATTTTTATGAGTTTGTGTTTTATAAAAGTGCGTCTCTTTCATAAGAAAAATAAATTGTAGACGCAGAAAAACCGCGGCACGTCTTATTGCGAAAATTGTGAGCAATGGACTTTTTTAGTCAATTAAAACTGGTCCTGATTAAGAAGGGATGTTCCCGAAATTGACATTCTTGAACATTTTTCGTTCTGTTTTACAAATATTCTAATTATAGCTTGCGTTTTTCACGTCGGTTTATTTATTTATTTTTATTTGGCTGAGCACAGAGCACATATTAATTTGTTTTAAGATTTCTGCAGAGCTGAAGATAAATTGCTCGTCGTTTTACATCTTGAAGGAAATTGATTCTAAAAGAACAGCTAAAAATCAAGTGAGGTACAAAAAAAACTATCGGTTCATTTATGTAAAAAAAAATAAATAACAATTTCTTCCAAATTTTCCCATACTTTATAAAAAGAGCACTCGCGCAAATTCTCTCTTGTTCAACACAACCTAAATAATTGGAAATGAGATCACAATTGTTTCCGGTGCGCAAACAATTTTTTATCAATTTTTCTCCGGTCTCGTTGCCAGAACTGCGAAAAGCCGTAGGTTGAAAAAGGGGGGAGTTTCCCAGCAGCCACCGTTTGCTCGAATCATTATTAGTTTCTACATCACTGCAAAAAAAAGAAGAGTCAAAAATGGCATAAAAGAGGGGAAAACCAACTACACTGCAAGCATTCGTGGAACGCTGGCTGATACGCATAATAAAAAGGAATCCCGTGCGAACAGGGTTGCACTCGTTTCCCCCCTTTTTTCCTTATTGTGCCGTTTTCTTTATTGTGCCGAAATATTCAAACAAAGCTCTTTTGCTTCTGCTCAGTGAAGGTTAGCGACTTGATTGAACCGCAGTGAGTCTTTCAAAACCAGGGATTTTCTCAAGTAATTTATTTTTGTTGATTTTTATTTTGAATAATATCAAGCCCTATCTTGTATTGTATATATATATATATTCACAATAAGATAATAGGAAATCAAATAATAAGAATTGCCTTATGCTGCAATTCTTACTGCTGACATTTTGTTTTTTTTTTATCAGGGAAGGGAAGTAAGTGTATGTATTTACATCAGTTGTGCAATTGTACATTTTGGGGTGTATTTTATTTTATTTTATTATCCATATGCAGATCATTTCTCCATTTTCCATTCTGATGTGACAGAATGTGTTTGGGTGAATGTGGATGATGGAGAGGGGATGTGGGAACATTGCTTGAACCCCATGAACGCTGAAAAAGCAGAAAATAAAGCTTGATGTTCAATTCAATCCAATAATAAGAGACCCAGAAATCAGCATAACATGACCATACAATAAATGAAAAGAAACATTACTTAATAAGCATAAACTTTATAAAAAAGCATTCTGGACTTTTCAGAGGTTCAACTCTTACTTTAATAAAATGATGCAAACAAAAATAATTATATGAAAAAAATGAGAAAAGTGCAAAATAAATTAAGTTTTTGATTGAAAGTATTTGTCATAAATTCAGAAATTAATCAAAATGGCTTTGACAACTATAAGGTGGACTCTCTCTAAAACAATTTTCCCTGCAATGATTTTTTCTGCATAACAATATTTTTTTTTAATTCCATTATTGGATTCTCTTGTAGGTGGACGTTGTAGGTGGACTCTCTCTACAATGACCTTGTTCACAACGATTTTCTCTGTATAAGGAATATTTTTTGGTCCCATAGGGTCTACAAGAAAATGTTCTCTAGAGGGAATTTCTTTCTGGTCCCTTGAATATCATTGTATAGAGATTCAAAGTACAGAGACCCAGAAAATACTTTTTTAAAAGCGTCCCCCCCCCCTGGATGGATTAATCGATAAACATATTTTCAATCCACAAAAATGAAGTCAATCAAATCCACTTTATTTTGAACCCATGCGACACGGGTGAAGTTGACTTTGAAGATTCAACATATTTTGCCCGGAAAGAAAGTGCTACTCATCATCTATTTTTAAAATTCAACAAACGGGGAATCGGTCAACCATAATTCGGCAAAATAATATCTCGAGAGCCAATTTGTGTGTCGAGTGGCAGGATCAACGAAAGACCGCGTGCCCATAATTTTTTTGCGGAAGGATTAATAACAGATGTGGTTCTCGTCGGTTTCAGCCGATTGGCGGATGGTCGATCTGTTTCGTTTCTTACGGCGGAGTGCTGCCCGCAAATATTTGGCGCGGACAATTTCGGCCTTTGTTTGGGCCGGTTGCCGACTACCTATACATATAAATGGAACAGGATGCAAAAAATATGAGAGAAAAAAGTGAGAGAGGAAAATTGAATAAAAAAAAAAAACGGAATGACCAGCAAAAGCGTCAGCTCTGCATATTCTTCCACTCTCTCAGCAGTGGTGAAAGAGTCCATAAAATTCTGTGTGCTCGCTCCTCCAAGGCGACCCTTTGCAAAATACCCTTTCCTCTCTGATGTGGATAAGAACTTTTATTTCATATTGTTTTCAAAAAACAGCTGTAAAATAAGTTTCCCCTCCTCTTCTGTGTGTGTGTGTGTATGGACTTTTGAAAGCAAGCTAATCTCTACATTTTCAATACGCATGTAATGATGCAATAATTAAATTATACCTTGTGAGGCAAAGTTGGGATATTTTTGCAATGAGCACTAACAAAGAATATTTTTTTTTTGTTGCACCAATAAGGCTTAAGTTGGGAAAAAGTCTAATATTTTTTTTATAATCCTGCAGAAATGTTTGCCTCAAAAACAAAAATTCCTCACTGGGTGGCATTTTGGCAGGAATTCCTTGAATAGAAATAGCATTAGATATTTTTGAATACAGGTAAGGATTCACCCTTCCTGGATTATTCCCAACTTAGGGCTCCCCAACCTGGGTACATTTCAGTGACCTTTGGGTCAAACTGAAATATGCCACCCCCCAAACAAATTCTGACTTTTGGATAATTGAAGACTGAAAGCTTGTTTATTTATTATTAAATCACAGTTGGACCCCAACATATGGACAATTCAACTTATGGACACTTTAAAAAAATCTGCTCTGCCATTTGGGCAATGTCTCAAGATATGAGCACTTTTCTAACATTCCTAGAAATTTTTTCTAAATTTTGATACTGCTTTAAAAGTATTAAAACATGGGGCTATTTATATTTAAAATGATAATTTATATTTACTGGGATTAAATAATAGTTTTTTCCGATTAAAACACGAAGAAAAGAGTGCAAAAAGGTAGTATGCTCGTTTTAAATCGTTTTGAACAGTAACAAGAAACGAAGTACTCGACGAAGACTACGGTTAAAATCAAATTTTGTGTGGTTTTTCTTATTTTATGTACTGTATCTTGAAGTTTAAAAAAATGTATTCAATTTTTTGGGGACTTCATTTCTAATTTCGGATGAAAAGGAGAACCAAATAAATATGTTCCCATTGAAGTCTACAGGGAAAGGTGTTCTGACACACAAACAAGGTCCAAGTAAGCACAAATTACATCCACAGCATCTTAGGACATCAATTTTATCCTTTAATTTAGCGTTATATACACTTTTACAACCCTTGATCATGTTCAAAAGCTAATTTGATTGCATTTCGAGTCCTTGGGAACAACGTGCAAATCAGCAGAAATATGTTTTAAAAATCTGAGGTGCAATAAAAAAAAATATGTGGGATAATTCATTGTTTGTTTCTCAACAAATTTTGTTTCCCCCGCAAAACCGGAAGTGTCATCCGCAAATCAAAAAGTAAAACCGAGAAATAATATAGTACAACAATTATTCCAAACGAAATATCTCGGGGATCCCAAAGTGACACGAGAAAATCGATGCCAACAATGGCCCAAAAGCGGAAGAAACGCTCTGATAATGTGATGGTGATGCCGGTGATCCTGATTTTTTTGCACACCCTGTCCTTCGCATCACCTGCTCTGACAAACATGGATCATCATCTCGGGTTGTCCCAAACTTCCTCAATATCATCATCACCCCTATCATCATCATCATCATCATCATCAGCAGCAGCAATATTGTCAGCTAATGACAGAGGGATTCAGTCTTCGACTTCAAGTCCGATCCAGACGTTTTCCCGTAGTAGGGACGACCACTTGTTCAGCCGTAGGAAACTGTCTCCCCCAAATAATGTTTTCTGGTACCTAGGTCTTCTCCTCTGACGACGTTAAACACACTCTTCGTAACACTTAGCGTCGTGCAAACATGACAGAGACATGTACACCTTGGATCCTAGTCTTGCATCAGACAGACTGAGACAAGAACCTTGCATCAAACAATTGCTGGAGTCTGAGTGGCACACCAGGTACTGTATCTTTTTATGGTTTGACTCTATGTGGAGGGATACTCTGAATTATAGTGGGCTTGGTTTATACCAGTGTTTCTCAACCTTTTTGGGCTTACAGACCAGCAAAGTTCCATAAAATGTTTCAAGGACTGGCAAATTTACCAAAGAGTTTCCACAGACTGGCAAAGTTTCATGAAATTTCTGCAGACTCAAAAAATTTTTGTTTGAAAGGCTTTATATATGGAAGGCATTGAAAAACTTTTTGCTCTTTTTCAAAAAATAAAAGAACAAATTAAGCAGCTATTGTTAAATGTTTTCAAAAAATTAAAAAGGCAAGCTTAAAGAAAGGTTTCTCAGAATGAAAAAAATAAAATAAATATATTTCAGCAGTTGAAAATTTGTCTGAAGTGTTATTATTTTTTCATCAGATAATTTCAACTACCATTGTCATTCAAAAAAGTTCAAATGAAGATAACAGACTTCATTGCTATACTGTGGCCCCCCGCCTAACAGACCTCCCGTGTAAGGGATTTTCACCAAACAGACCAGCTCTGCAAGCAGTTTTTCCTCCTGCCCATCAGACAAAATCCACCAAACAGACTTCTTTTGGTTTAAAATTATTGTTGAAAATTGAAATTTTAATTTTTTATGTAATTGAAATCGTGTAAAGGACTTTTCGTCAAACAGACTCGTCCCTTGCACAAAGCAAGTCCGTTAGACGGGGGTTGACTGTACTTTTGAAAAATTTATCATGAACATTTCCTGTGGGCCAGCAAAAATCTTTTTGCAGACCAGTGCCAGTCTGAGGACAATGGGTTGGGGAACACTGGTCTATGCTATAGTATTAGAAGTTTACTGTGGAAAATTAAGTCCACAATCATATTGAGCAAAGTTCTGTTATGAAATGAACAATGCATCTAGACAATACTAAACTAAATTCCAGATGGTGTTTGACTGGGACTCCATAGGTACTAGTTATTTGTTTGATTTCAAAGAGTGGTACTTGGTTCTTGGGCTTGGTCCATTGAATAGAAAGAAGTGCACAAATGGAATGTGAAGTCCATCATTGAGCAAAGTTATCATATTTATTTGTGTACCACCAACACCTTTTTTTCTCAAATTTGAGAGAAAAAAAGGGGGTGCCCATCATATGTGGGTATATTGGTACTTAATTTTTTTTTATAAATTTTGGTGTGCTCTTTAATTGATTCTTATGTGAAAATGTCGACCCAGTTCTGTATAGAGTGGTACTAGTTGGTTTTTGGGCTTGGTCTGTTCTAAATTAAGCTGTATTGTAGTATGAAATGATTAAGTCACCAATCACTGAGAAAAATTACACAAGGAAACAAGTACATCAAGCTATTAATGTTATTGATGTTTGATTGACCTTCCAGGTAATGGTTTTATTTATTATTATACACTAAATAGAACAATACTTTGGTTTTGGGACTTGGTACATCCTAGTAGTGCAAAGTGCACTATGAAGAAATTTGATCATGAATGAATGAATGAACAGAACACTTTATTTGCTGCTTCTCAGCGTTGTTCACAAGGTTCAATCAAGATTTCCACAACCACATCCCCTTCCCACCCAACCCAAATCCACTCAATGACATTTAATTTGATCATCATTGAGTAATGTAAAACTTTGACACAAGCCATATATACCAATAGACAACTTACTGTACTTTGAGACTGGCACTCCAAGTTCTGGCTATTTGCATATTCATGGATGAGTTTTTGCTAAATATGAACTTTTTTGTTGAAGATGGGCATTACAGAGTTTAAATAAGAGCAGTACCCAAACAGTCAGTGACCACTATATGAGTGATATGAAGTTATGTAATCAGCCATGCATATACAGTATCATGCAACTCAGATAGAGTGTATGATTGCATACACACAAGGGGAAGGTTTTTTTTGTATAACTTTTGGTCCATTGAGGCAGGAAAGTTCAATATCCAAAAAGTCTCATCACCACTATTTTTTTCTTATAAACCTCTAATACACTATACCTCTTATTTATAGTTTCACAATTCTTGCAATGCCACAGGGATTTTTGAGAGATTGTATAAAAATCCTGTCCATATACCTAAGAATATATATATTGTTTGACCTGCTGAAAGGTCAATGCAATTTATGGTGCATGTTGGCATATCATTTTTGAGGAATAAATTGCAAAATTTGGGATTAATGTTTTGATCAATCCCCTCTTTTTACTGCACTAGATTCATAGATGATGGTGAAACATTCATAAATAGTCACAAGCGCATCTCTGATGCTGTTTTTAATGAGTATACTTCAGTCCACTGCATCACTGAATAATTTCACAGCATGACCACCTATAATTACAGGAAATGTCAGCCAATTTTTATGAATGTTGAATGTTTGGACAAAGAAACTGAGTTCATCAGGAAACAATGAAAGATTAGTATTGGCAATTTATGCAAATTTTTTGCATACGTCAACATATTTCTCCCTGGTTAAAAAAAGAAAACAATAACTTTACGGATTCAACCATTTTTGCGCAAAGATTTTTAATTCTCAATTTATGGTTCTGTTTTTCCCAAAAAGGTATTCAAAAGATGGAAATCGTCGTGGAAGCGTGACCCGAATCAATGGTTGCACTGACTGCAGAAGCAACGACACCCAGGACATTGCTGCCAACCTTGCCTGGTAATGATTGTTATAAAATACTGTACATTCTCCAAATTACAAACGATGGTGTAAAATCGCTCAAAAGACGATCACACAAAAATGCCTATAACATACTGAATTCTTGAAAATCTTTCAGACGAAGAGTGCAGTTCTTGTTTGGGAGAGTGACTCATATACACATTGACCAAAATCTCATTTTCTCAAAAGCCGATTTTTGTCAATTTCGAGGCCTTTCACAAGAATCCCACAATATATCGCTGAGAAGAAGATTGTTGTTGATTCTCTTATTGTGGCTGATTTATTTTTATTCTGTTATTGATGAGAGCAAACGAGATTTGGTATTCAAAAATTATAAAGACGGCAAATTATCAAGACAACATTTATTTTGACGCTCTGATCATTTTTAATGCCTTTAGATTCTTATCAATTACTCCGTGAAACACCTTAAAATTTGAATGTAAATCAGAGAACTCTTTCAAAATAAATTCTTGGAAAAGTCCAATTCAATGATCCTATAGATCCCTGGAATTCCAATGACAAGTCAACTTTTTACAATCAAATGGGAAAAAAGACACAGAAATTGACCCAAATCTCATTCATTAAACATATATACAAGTATTTCAGCTTTTTTGTAGAATTTTGAGACTTTAAAAAACCCCCATAACAGCTCAGAAGTCAGGCCAAGAAAATTATTATTGATTCTCTTGTGGCCGGATTTGTTTTTTTGCCATGTTTCTGATGATGAGAGCAAAGTGAATTTTGTTTTCAAAAATTATAAGGACAGAAAATTCTGAAGACAAAATATTTTGTAATCTTATTTAGGTGCTCTGATAATTTTGAATTCCTCCAGAATCTTTTCAATTACTGCTTGAAAGGTTTGAAAATGATGATGCAAATCAGGGACCCCCATTTCAAAATGAAATTTAAATTATTCCAATTCTATCATCTTTTATTCCTGGCATTCCAACCCAGCAAGCAATTAGGCATTTTAAACGCATTTTAAATGCGTTTTCAGCCAAAATTGCTATGCATTTCATGCCCCTCTATGTTACGCCTACTTGAGATTTTGAAGTATAGGCATTACTACAGAATGCATTAAAAACGCATTCTGAACACATTTCAGAAAATTTTTTCAGTACAGCAACACAAAAAAAAAGAAAGGCATTATACAGAAGAAGCTGGGCGTAACAGTTACGCATAACATATGTCTTACGTAATGCATAACTGCTACGCCCAGCCCTTCCTGTAACAAATTATTTGCTGGGAATACAGCAACTCACTTTTCAAACCAATAAAAGGCTTGAAGAAATTGAGCAGAACATGCAAATCATGAAAATCTTCCAAGAGGAATGATAAAAAATTACAAGATCTCAACGTTGTGGAATTTAAAAAAAAAACAAATGATTCACAAAATTTTATTCTTTCGTTTCTTATTCAAATAAGGTGTCTGTCGTTGCGAAACGAGAATTGCTGTTCGTGTCTGTTCCGACTTCGCCCCTGGTTGAATGCCAAACAAATGCCGACGATGGAACCAGGAATTCCTCCACTCAAAAACGGCACATTTCCTCTGACAGGGCCTGTCAATTTGACAGCGACGGAAAGACATTCGCCGCCGCGATTCTTCAAACCAGACAGAACACCGACTGTCATTAGCAATCAACACCTGTTTGTCCACAACGAAGTTCCAACAGAAACGGGAGACGTTTCAGTCAGAGGTTTGACAGTATTTATTACAGGACAGTAATGATTTAAAGTCCGATTTAAGATTTTGTATTTGGCATAAATCGAGAGTACACAAAGCGATTGGCAATTTTTCGAGGATAAGTTCAATAAAAAAAATCACATTTACAGAACCTTGAATTTTCTATTGTCCTAGGGGTCCACACATTATCATACAAGAAAATGAGTGAATTGAATCTCATCCTCGTATCGGGATATTTAATTGAATACCCCTGCTTTTTTCTCCTTCCCCTGAATTAAGGGAAACAATTTTTAAAATTTGAAAAAAAAACATCCAATTGGGCGTCACTTGAGGTAATTTTGTATTTTCAGGTGCATTTTCAGAGATGAATTCATTAAAAAAATAAAGGAGCTGAAATATGGCAGATGATGATACTGTATTAATCTTCAAAACAGAGAATGAATGCATGTTCAATTTTCCTCTTAATGTCATTTTCTACAGTATATGTACTGTAGTTAATTCTTGCAATATTACAACTTTTCATGGATTAAAAGTGCAAGGTGCCTACTTTAGTTGGAGATTTACATTACTTCTCTAATTTTGAATACCTAAAAGCTGAGGAGCTTAAATTGGTATGAGTACAGGTTATTCCTTGCAATTTGACCTCCCACAATTTGACTGTCCCAAAATTCATTGGTCAACTTTTCAGGGAGGTTGACTTGCAATTGGACCTCTGCCCCAAAATTTGGCCTACTTTGGCCACTTTTTTGCATTTTTGTGCTGATACTTCTCAATTTTATGAAGTGTCTTGCAATTTGACTGCTTTACAATTTGACCCTAGTGTGGTAACGGATTAGGATTGAATTGCAAGGTACCACCTGTATAGTCTAAGTTGTGTGCAAGTTCAGATTTTATCTATTCATATCATGGCATGAGGCTGAGTTCAACTGACTTGTTCTCATATTGACATCAAGAACATAATGCAAAGCACACTCAATGGCAGCATTTGAATTTTTTATAACTTCCAGTAGATGAAATGAGACATTTAGAAGGACAACAGGAATCTTCCTTTAATAATTGTGCACACTTTAAAAATATTTATTCACTCTGCGAGGTCTAGGATTCAGCATGAAGAGCAAAAGTGCCTCAAAGGTGCAAAGAGAACATGCATTAGGCAATCTATAAAATTATTCATAATCTTATGGAGTGGTTTTTGCACTTTGAAAAATATATGGACCTTTTCCTTGTGGTAAAATAGCATTAGAACATAATGGGGGATTCTTTGCTTTCTTTTGATACAAAAATTGAATATATTGCAATGAAGATTCAGACAAGCCTCTGTGAATCAGACTCTAACTGACCCAAAAAACGATGACAGAGAATATTAAAATTATTTTATAAGACCTCCCAGCAGAACCCATTACAAGGGGCAGATGATGGTATTTTTATGTTCTTCCTTTTTTTCTGGTTGATTCAAATGACACAAAACACTCTTGAGAGAGGTCAGTTATTTATTCTAGGATAACAAATGGTCATTCAATTTGAGCTCTCTCTGACACCTAATTTTGGTGGTCTTGATTTTGCAATAATACTTCCAAATTTCTACTGCAGGAATTCATAAGAGAGTACTGTACACCTGAGTACTGCTTCATGATGCGCACCACGTTTAAGGTTATTTTTTGCTTTTTGAAAACGTGGTTTTTAGATTAATTTTTTAATCTACTAAATTTTTTTTTCTTGATCAATTACCAAAGCATCACATAATCCTTGTTTTCCTATACTCTCTTTACAAAAAAAAAGGTAACCCCATCACAGCTGCTCACCAAAAGCCCGTTGACCTAGCATTAGAAGACATCCAAAGAAGACTGGGTTCATACGCCCCCAAGATGTTGTACAGCGACCCCAACAATTATTTGCTCAAAAATCGAAAGGAGGATTCACCAGTAGACAGATTCAACAAACAATCTGCTCGCAGCCCCCACGACCCCAAAACCGGAGACGACATTCAAAACATTTTACTGAATCCCATCGCTTGGATCAACAAATTATCCAAATTCAAGCAGCCGCCATCAGCATTAGCAAGCACTAAAACCGGCATCATCGGACTGATTGCCGAGAAAAACAAACTCAGCTCCAACGTGACAACAACAACAACAACAGTGTTGCCATCAGCATGGGCCAATGAGAGGCCCAAAGAGATCCTCGATCCCTTCCCACACGTGCAAAACATTGCCCTGGCAGCTGAAAAGATCCTCAGGCTCCTGGAAACCAAGGCGTCCAAGTGCGCGAATAAAACAAAAATGAAAGACTGCATCCTGCATTACAGTCCCAACAATCAAACTGCTGAACAAACCACGAATTATTTCAAGCGTTTGGAAAACCGACTCAGAGCGTGTCAACAGCAGTTGGAGTTTTGCTCTTCGCAAGTTGATGACGGGCCGCCATCTTTGGCCAAGTCTGCTGGGAGTAATAATGTGTCCATCGGTGACAGTGCTGTTGGATCTGCTGGGAAACAGAATTCATCCAGCAACACTGTGACACATGGGTCAACAACTGAGCTGCAGGGCCAGGTGTTTGTGGCAGGTGTGCCTGTGGGGTTTGCTTTGCAAGTGCCAACTGATCCTGTGACCATCCAGGAAAAGCCAATGATGTCTGATGCTGATGTGTACAGCATAATGGAGCCTTATCAAGGAGCAAGTGGTCCACTCACCAATCAGGAAAATACCTTTTTCATGTCACCTGAAGAGCCATCCATTGATGAGTAATTGAACCATTATTTAACCCTTATACCGGTGTTACCCAAGAACCCATGGTCTACAGCAGACCAAAGCCAGTCCAGAAGAAAGTTTTTGTTGCCAGTCTGCAGGAAATTTTATTCAGCACAATGTATATTTAAATAGCAACTAAGTCTGATATCTGCAGAAAATCTTTTGTGGAAATTTGCTGGTCTGCAAACAGTTTTATGGAATTTGCCAGTCTGTAGGGCCAAATAGGTTGAGGAACACTGGCTTAGAAAATGGCAACCTCCTTTCCATTGCTTGAAAAGTTGGGATTTTTTTTGCACACAAGCTCATTTAAGTTTGACTGAAGATTACCAAAATGTGCCTGCGTTTGGAAGACCTGATTTGGGAAAGTTTTGGAAAGAGTGAATCCTTTTGTTTTCATATATCTTCAATGCTTGGAATGGAATCCTATGCTTGGAATGCAGGAAAAAATACCACCCAGCAAATATTTTTTTCTATCATCCAGCAAGCATTTTGGGCCAGGAGTTAAACATATCACACTTTTTCTAACTTAGTCCTTCGTTGTAAGTTCATGGTTTTTTTCTAATTTCAATGCTCTTGGATGGGTGCAAAATTTTGTGAAAATATCTTACCTTTGCTGCAGAAGTGTTCATAGGTGAAGATAAATCTAAAAAAATCTACCAGCACATGACACTGTAATTAGAACATATTGTAGTGTCTTCAGCTATACCAACTTTCTGGCTAATCTCAAAAATAAATGTATAGTTTTTGTCAATTCAATCACGTGCAAATTTTCCTGCTAGACATTTGAATTATGCCCATATATAAAGCTTAAAGAAGTATTTGTTGCTTGAAACACAGTTTACCCTGTTTACCTGCAGTAAAACATTTCTAGAGGTATCCTTTGTCAACCACAGCAGCCATTTTATTGTAGGAACAAACAAATCCACATGAAAAACATTTATTTTATTGTTCATTTGAGCCAATATTGAAATTTTCACATCAATATACAGTATAGTACTGTACTTGTATTCTTCAATCAATAATTTTTGTGACTGAATATACTGCACATGTCTCATGCCTACTCTCATCCCATAACATTTTTGTTCAAATGTTCTCTAAAAAGATGCTGGTGCATGTCTTAAATAAAGAAGGTATTACAGTACAGTCAACCCACACAAGGGACCAAATTAATGCAACAGACTAGTCTGTTGTGTGAAAAGTCTGTTATGCAAATTCAATTATTAAAAAAATTAAAGTTTTTGCTCTTCACCGCTAATTTTAAACCAGCAGAAATCTGTTGTGTGGGAAGTTTGTTGTACAGGGGTCAACTGTACTGTACTTGTAATGTAATTCAATTGCTGTGGTATTATTCACTATATATAGATGCTATAGTTAAATATCTGCTGGTTGTCAGGGTCAATTTGCACTTCTATTAAAATGAATATGCTAATGGGAATAATGCTATGGTTTTTATAGACATGATCTAGAACAAGGAACCTCAAGTCTCACACCCAGAGATGCTATCATTCCAGCCTATGCTCCACATGATGACATGAAAAGCAGGGTGTTCCAGAACTTCATGGTGCAGGTCCCAGTTGAAGCAACATTCACAGCACCAGAGTTGACAGAAGCTCAAATAATTCCAAGAGAATCATTAAAAGCTGATGCAATTTATTCTGATGCATTGGCTCAAAAAATACTGGATGAGGTAAAGATTGCTGCAGATGGTCTGGAACAAGCAACTACAAAGCTAACAACAGGAAAAGACCCATTGCTTGCCCTTGGGATCCCTGAGGTACCCATCATGGCATCTCAACAGGATATGAACAGTGCATCTCTGACCCATGAAACTGTGGAGGACTTGTTCAAAAAGATAGATGAGTTCAAAGCAGTGACTAAAAAGGCATTGTTGGTGCCAGAAGTCCAAGCTGCTGCTTTACTCAGAAAAGCATCTTTACCAGCAAGCACCACCACCACAATAACCACAAAACCATCATCACCACCACCAACAACAGCTACCCCCTCAACAACCACAAGTACCACTACCACCACCACCACCACCATCCCAACAACAGCATATAATACTGTACCCACAACCAAATATATCCCATTAACATCCAAGTTACAGCCCACAAGTGCTCTGTCATCTGCAGAAAAGGCCATGAAGTTGCTGGAGGAACTAGACAAAAAGCTGTCCAGTGATCCAGAACACAACAGAACAGAGCTGCTGAATATTTATGAAACCCTAAGACAGATAAGGATCAGGGTCTCTGCCAAAGCCAACAGAACCACTGGGGAACTAGCATCAGAACCAACCAAGGCAACCCAGCAAACTACCCTACATCCCATGGTCAATCCAATTGGACAAACCCATGAAGAAGATTCCTTAGAACCCACCAGGATTGTGACTGTGATTGAATATGTCACTGATGATCCTGATGAGGAACAAATACTTGTCAAACCCACGTCCATAGATATTGAGCAAATGGCAAAGGAAGCAGCTGATGAACGCTTTTTCACCAAGAAGACTGAGTTCTTTGATGGAATAGATAATGAGGCATTTTCTGGCGCTCAATCTGGTTTGTTAGAGGGAGATAAGAAGTCAAGCTACAGTAAATTAGGAGGGAATAATAAGGTTAGCATTAGCAACAGTAATGGAAGGGCACAAGCTGGAGAAGCCCTGAATGAAGTCATGAGGGTGCCTTATGACAAGAAAATTGAAACATATTCGGGAAGACAACAGAATGTGAGACATAAGCATATTATGAAGGTGAGACAATTTCAATATTTTATAAAGCCGTAGGAGTTAGGGACAAATGTCTGTGGGTTTTGAATTCCTGATCAAAATAAGCTACATTTACAGTGAGACCCCACATGTGAACATCTTGATGCATAGACATTTAAACATAGGGACTTTTTTTTCAATAAAAAAAGGCATTACATTTGGACACTGACTCAACACGTGGACATTTCATGATAAAACTGCCAATATATTTCAGGAAAATTGACTTTTATTAGGCTTAATTGCAAGAAACAGATATTTCCAACCCTAAGATATATGCAAGAAAAATTCTGTGGTACTTATCCCATCATTTTCCCATAAATTCAGCTAATTTAAAAAACATATAGAATAGAGGGACTTCCTTCTCTCTTTGTGATATGAATTTTAGTTTCACGTGTGCCAACATTTCAATTTACTGTACAGAGGTACACTATTCAAAGCTCCAAATGTTCTTATTGAGTTGAAAAGATATTCACTGAATCAAATTCAAGTGGCAAACCATTTTTTTCATGGAATTCTGAAGAATATTTCTTTCATAAAACACCAATTAAAATTGTATAAGGTAAGTCTATGGAAAAACAAGACTCATCTTTGGGACATCTCAACTTGGGCAAAGAACTTCAGCAAAGAACTTTCAACTTCAGCAAATAAATTTTAAAATGCATGGCAAAACTGAATGCAAATTTGAATTTCCCTATTATCCCTTTTCTTGCTATAGCAATTAAATGGCCCTCGATTCACGCAACAGGATTATTACAACAACAACAACAATAAGCAAGAAAACGACCATCAACCAAGACGGGTACATGCACAAGACCCCTTGTACCAAAGTCGCCAGCAAAGCAGACAGTCCATGACCCTGATGAACCCCCGAGGCCCAGAACCCAATCAGGCCATGTTCCAATTAGCCAAGGCCTATCGCAACTACGCATCCAAACTCCAACCCAGGAAACCAGTAGCAGTAGCAGCAGCAGCACCTTTCCAGCAAGAAATGCAGAGGAAAATCCCCAACATAATCAACAACAACAACAACAATTTCAAAGGTGCAGTGGAGCAAAAAAATGGCCTGGAAAAGCATTATGGAGAAGACTCTGTCAGCTGTGACATCCCCATGTACCATGAAGACACCTGGAAACAGGGTGTGTCATCATCATCATTGGGTCAAAAGCAGTACCATCAACTGAAACATATTAAACCCCCACCACCGCCACAAGTAGTACCACCTCGTGCACCAGCACAGCATGCAGATCATCCTGCTGCACAGGTTCAGGATCCCCAGGGATTATCTCTCGGATCCAAACCAAGAGGATCCCGGGCATCAAAAGAATTCCAGATGGGTTGGACAAGCAGTGAAAGACCTTATGAACCAGCTGGGGATCCTCAGGCATATGTGATGGAGCAGCCACCAGATTATTATGATTTCCCTGCTGCTGCTGGAGTAGGGGATGTTGGTGCTAGTAGTAGTAGTATTGGTGGTCCTACTGTGTATGATGATGGCTATGGGGACAATGTAATTGCTGATGGATATGAGTCAAATTCAGTGCTGTATGACAGCAGTTATGTGCCAGACATGGACTTGGGGAACTCAGTGAGGGTGAGAAGGAGCAAGCCAGTCAAACTCAGGTGAGTTCATTTCAAACCCTTCTGTAGCAAAGGATTATTCCCCATTGTGGGACTAAGTTGGATTTTCTTGGGTGGGCTCACATTTTATTTTTCTTGAAGGTCATGAAAGCCAAGCCAGATGTACAAGGGCAAAGTTGGACTTTGTCCAGAAAAAATGTGCTGCTAATATTCCCCAAAGTTGGGCTTTACCCACTAATACTTTCTTGTCCCTCTAAATGGGAATCCTTCTTCTGGCACCAAAAATGAAAGGGTTGGGAATCTGAAAAGAATTCAACTAATCCAGAGAGAGGATAAAAAAAAGCTCAACCTTAGTGAATTTTTTTTTTTGGGCTACATTTTTCTGTGGATTAAAAAAAAATATTGGGTTTTTTTCTGACTTTGCCCTGGGCAAACTGTCACTCTTTCATTTGTTTTATCTGTCCACGCAGACACAAAACTTTGCAGAAAAAGTTCAACTTTGTGGCCTAAGGGTTAAATGTGGGAGCTAATCTTCAAGTGCATTGCAAACAGTTGTGGGAAGCATAATAAGATTCAACCTCTTTAATTTGTGCAAAGTACTTAGTTGAGATTTTGAAACTGGCATTCAAATACCATTCCACCCAAAATGTACACAATAAATACAAAAAAACTTGGTGAATTTTTTTTTATGAATTGTCAATATACTGGATTCTGAAGGATTGCATTTTGGAAATTTTTATGACTTCTTGGAAAATAAAAAAACATCAATGCAATCAGGGTATATGAATGAATGAATGAACATAACACTTTATTTGCCGCTTTTCAGCATTCACAAGGCACAACCAAGAATTCCGCATCCAAACCCCCTCCCCACCCAACCCAACTCCCCCCAAAGACATTCAATTACTTTAAAGCATGTATTCAGTGCTGTATGACAGCAGTTATGTGCCAGACATGGACTTGGGGAACTCAGTGAGGGTGAGAAGGAGCAAGCCAGTCAAACTCAGGTGAGTTCATTTCAAACCCTTCTGTAGCAAAGGATTATTCCCCATTGTGGGACTAAGTTGGATTTTCTTGGGTGGGCTCACATTTTATTTTTCTTGAAGGTCATGAAAGCCAAGCCAGATGTACAAGGGCAAAGTTGGACTTTGTCCAGGAAAAATGTGCTGCTAATATTTCCCAAAGTTGGGCTTTACCCACTGATACTTTCTTGTCCCTTTAAATGGGAATTCTTCTTCTGGCACCCAAAATGAAAGGGTTGGGAATCTGAAAAGAATGCAACTAATGCAGAGAGAGGATAAAAAAAGCTCAGCCTTTAGTGATGTATTTTTTGGGCAACATTTTTCTATGGATACAAAAAATATTGGGTTTTTGCCTGACTTTGCCCTGGGTGAAGTGTCACTCTTTTATTTTTTAATCTGTCCACACAGACACAAAACTTTGCAGAAAAAGTTCAACTTTGTGGCCTAAGGGTTAAATGTGGGAGCTAATCTTCAAGTTCATTGCAAACAGTTGTGGGAAGCATAATAAGATTCAACCTCTTTAACTTGTGCAAAGTACTTAGTTGAGATTTTGAAACTGGCATTCAAATACCATTCCACCCAAAATGTACACAATAAATGAAAAAAAAACTTGGTGAATTTTTTTTATCAATTGTCAATATACTGGATTCTGAAGGATTGCATTTTGGAGATTTTTATGACTTCTTGGAAAATAAAAAACATCAATGCAATCAGGGTATATGAATGAATGAATGAACAGAACACTTTATTTGCCGGTTTTCAGCATTCACAAGGCACAACCAAGACTCCCGCATCCAAACCCCCTCTCCACCCAACCCAACTCCCCCCAAAGACATTCTATCACTTTAAAGCATGAAACAAAGGACAAACCAATGACAAAAACAAAAGAGAGAACATACACTGCAAAATAAAACTAGACATCCAACATGTATGCATACACCCACCCATCCAAATTTTTGATCTAATCTGTTTGCTAAACCTGGTTACCTATCAAAAAAGTTTCACCTAGTAAATGAGAAAACATGACCCAAAGAATATTTGAGTGAATTAAAATTCTTTGTGAGGGTATATGAGTTGATCAAATTCCATTTTACATTTAGCAATGTCAGAAAGTTATCAAATCAATCCACAAAACGTTTCAGTAGAATACAGGGAAAATGTTTTTCAAAAAAGTTTAACCTGTAAAAAAACTAGAAGGTTTCATTTTTGAATTGACTTTTGAATTTTTGTTAGGAGTTACAGTTTATAAACTTAAATATTTTTTCCAATCAATTAAGGGCCAATGGGATGGCAAACAAACTGAAAAAGAAGCTGGAAGAAGAAGCCAGGGAAATGATGAAGCTCAGATCCAGAACAAAAAGAGATGTTTCATCAGCTTCACTTGGAGATTCTGATGCCACAACATCATCATCATCATCATCAGCAGCAGCAGTAGCAGCCATTGAATCAACAACAAGCAAAGGGAGCAGCACCAATTCCTCAGAAACAACACCTATCAAAAGCAAATTGAAATCCAGAAAAAATATCCAGGATTCAGTGAAACGTCTTGGCATGAAGTTACCCACAGTTTGGATCTTCAAGGATAAATCTGGCAACAAAACCAAAGCTGAAATTGATGAGCCCAGTGCTTCAGACAAGAATACAGACTCAGAACACTCTACTTCTTTGACAGAAGACTCTGGGTCCACAACAAGTTCTACCAATGCTGAGACAACAGAATCTACAGCATCACCAAGCAGTAATTCTTCAGCTACAGGAACTACTCCAGCTTCCAATACTACCTCTGACTCTACAACCCCAACTGCAAAAGCTGGCTCAAGTGAAGAATCTTCATCTACAAGTACCAAATCCAGCACAGACTCAGGTTCATCCTCTTCAGTGGAGAAAAGTGAAACTAGTTCCATGGCTTCCACCACAAGTAAATCAGATGATAGTTCTGCTGCTACATCTGCTGACCATGCTGGAGAATCTACTAGCCCTCAGGCAACAACACAAAGCTCTTCATTGTCTGCTGAATCAACTACAAATCCATCTTCATCAGATCACAGCACTGGGGAGTCAAGCTCTACTGTTTCTTTACCTGGGGCTGACTGAGAAGTTGAACTGAAAAATGCACATTATTTCATGGCACTTGATTTGATCTTTTGATTATGTAGTGAATGAGTTAAATCTAAACATACAGAACATGGGTTAGACTGGAACTAATAATCTCACTTTATATAGTGGGTCTCATTTCTGGTTTCTCATATGCTGGCCACTCCAAAATTTCCTACTTACCTAAATGATATAGAAAATGCATGAAATAATTGAAAAAGTCAAATATATTTATTTACTTGAAAATGAATAACAACGCCAAAAAATCGTTCATCAATTGAAGATCTCAAAGTATATATCATTTGTAAACAGAATCATCCACAGGTTTTGTTTCAGTCACAGGAGAATAATATCCTGTTTTGTAGAATGGACCACATGCTTCATCGATTTTCACCAGTTCTTCAATCTTCAGCCCTTTCCCCCACTTTCTTGTGATCATCTTTGAATATTCCAAGTCTTTCTGGACAAATTTGAGGTTTGCCTTGATATTCTTGGTGCTTTGTGAAATCCCCAGGAAATCATAAACTTGCTTGAGGGTCTGAAATAAGCAAAAAAGTTGTCGTTTCAGCCTGCCTCATTTGCAGTGAATATCATTTCAGAAGAATATCATTCGAACGCATCTTTAAAAAAATTATGTCACAAAAAATTTGTTTTCACGTCTGTGCCCAATAACCACAATGTTAAAAAAAATTATTTACAATGATTCTGGTTTTATGATACATAACAATAAGGGGGGTTCTTGATCCCAACGGTATTTTTGTAACAAGCCATTCATGTCTGAATATGTAAAGAAGAACTACACAGTTCAAAGTTTATTTTATATTTGAATATCAATGATGATTACATTCAATTTAGCATTTAAGCATATGCAAATTATTTACAGTACTTCAGCTGTGCATAAAAAAAAAAAGCTCATTCACCTTGTCAGGACTCCTGAGGAAGTTTTCTTCCTTGATGGTAAGCAGGACTTTGGAGGAGCCTCCATCATTTTGAGTAGTTCCAAATTTTCTCAAAAAGTTGTCAATCCTATTGACATCCTGGAACATTTCGAAATCATTGAAAAACAAAAACAGATGAGGATGTCAATTGATTTCATGGACCATTAAGGATCGAGGACTGGATGCATGAAAAGCTGAATACCGAAACATCCACGATATTCAGACTTTGACATTGTTCTCATAAAATGTTTTTTTCTAGTCAGAAAGGGTTTCTTGTTTCAGATAAACATGTCGTTCTTGAACAACTCACCCATCTTGGAAGAGCTTATGAAACACTTCTTCCTTTGAATGCAGATTTAATCTCGACACTGAATTAAAAAAAGAAGCTAAATTAGGATATTCATTTGATTAAAATTATATTGACCAAAATATGTGAAACTTGAAAGATATGATTGATTGAAGCTTACCTCATTCAAATCCTTATTTTTCTCAGCTATAAAACTTTTATTCTGTTTTCAAGTTGAAAAGCCAACAGAGCCTCATAGAAATTAATGCTATGTATTCCGCTCGACAATCTACGTCCTTTATATGGCTTTTAACGTTTTAATAATTTTGTTTAATGCATAGAAATTCTTACTGCCAACATTCTCGAACACAAGTCCCTCGCAGCTACATGCATTCCTCCTGCGCTGTCCAGAAAAAATGCCAAGTTGCCGTCCATTTTCCCCCTGAAATGTAAAATTTTTCATTAAATTTACGATTACAGTACTTTCAACAAAAAGTTTGAAAATGAGCTATACAGTGGCCCCCGCCCAACAGACCTCCTGTCAGAGACCCTTAGGTTTCAAACAAAGAAATTCGCAGAAATAAAAGAAATGCACACTATAGGCAGTTTGCGGCCAAGACCAAGTCTCCAGGAACTGCTGTAATTTTGCACAAGTTGTAATAATGCGTTTTCACTTTCAGAGTTTGGATTTTCATATGTCCAAGGAGTATTCGCTGCGAGAATCTCGGACGAAGTGAAGTCTTTGGTGCTTCGTGGTTGTCGGAGTTGGAGAAGGAACTGGTTTCCTGTATCAAGTTTTCAGGGTTAGTATGTTTGTTGTAAGAGTGAATTGTTCAATTTTTTTGTGTTTGTGGCGCGTCGTATGTTTTGTGAATTCGGGCGACCTCTATATAGGGGTCCCTGGGATACCTTCCGCGTAAGGGATTCTTGCTTAACAGCAGACCAGCTCTGCAGGCAGTTTTTCCTCCCACCCAACGGACAAAATCCGCCAGACTTCTTTTGGTTTAAAATTAGTGTTGACAATTGAAATGGTAATTTTTTAATTTAATTGAATTTGTCTAAAGGACTTTTCGTCTAACATAGTTGTATATTGCACAAATTAAGTCCGTTATACGTGGGTTGACTGCATTCCAATCAACTGTCCTTCAATGAGCTTAAATGAAATTCCAATTCCAAAAAAACTGCGACCATGTTTTTTTCATTCTGATCCTTTATGAGAAAAACAGTTTAGGTAGAAAAAGACTTCATAATGTAATCATATTTAAGACCCTTACTGAAATCTTTAAGGATCAAGATAAACTGTTGGCCTTATATGATTTCTCATCAAAGATTCTCT